AAAAAAAAAAGTAGTATTTTTTCTTGAGATTAAGGAGGCACCGTTCTATTTACTCCTAGTTTACTGTTTTTTATATATATATATCATGCATGGATATTGAATTTATTAAATTATTTTCATGTATCTACTGAGAAAATGATCAAATTTATTCTGTTAACATGTTGACATGTTGATTTTCAAATGTTAAAGTAACTTCATTCCTGGAATAAACTCATCTTGGTCATGATGTATTATCTTCTTTATGTATCACCTGATTCAATTTGCTAACGTTTTGTTTAGGACTTCTGCATCTGCGTTCATGATTGAAATTGGCCTGCAGTTTTCTTTCTCGTTAGGTTCTCGTGATGGTTTTAGTATCAGGGTTATGTTGGTCTCCTCACAAGAGTAGAGAAATGTTTCATTTTCTTTTGTCTTTTGGAAGTGTTGTGTGAATTAGATTTATCTCTTAAATGTTCACGAGAGAGGTGTGTTAAAACCTCCCACTAGTATACATCTACACACTTCTCCATGTAGTTCTGTTAGCTTTTGCTTGAGGTATTTTGAGGCTGTGTAATCAATTAGATGCATATAAATTTAAGAACTGTTAAGTCTGTTGAGTGTACTTTGTCTTTACAGCATATCCCTTTGTAAGTCTAGCATTTCTTTTTGCCTTAAAACTTACTTTTCCTGATATTAATGTAGCTATGCTAATGATTTTTGGGGGGACTTTATTTGCAGAATGTATTTTTCTCCATAATTTTATTTTCCACCTTTCTGTATTTTACATAGACACATCTTGTCAATAGCATATAAATTAAAAGAAATACAGCCTGATAGCTTGTTTTCAACTGGAGAATTTAGTTGATTTAATAGTTTTTGGGGGGTGGGAGTTAAATCTATTTGCTTGCCTCTGGTCCCACTAGCGCCACGCGTCTTTCGCGTGATTTGGACTTTCTTGCCTTCCTTTCCTGCTGATTTTTTTTCTATTTTTTGTGGCAGTTGGCCGGTGCTGATTTGGGGGCTATAAGGCTGCGCTCGAAGCAGCTGAGCTAACCGGCCTTCTTTTCGATGGACTGTTGTTATTCCATTTCTTCCCCTCTGTTAGCTTGGCAATTGTACACTCTTCTACTACCCTTTTAGTGGTTCCTTAGAGCTTACAACTTGCACTCTTACCTCCTCAAAATCTAATGTTTTTAGTACTGTTATCTTCTTCCTCGACAATTCAAGAACCAATTCAATACGCTAACTCCATCCATCCCCTTCCGGAGTCACATACCACTATTTTAATTCTCTGTATTTGAAACCGTAAGACATTCTCTTTGTTGTTTTATGCAGTCAGTGTCCATTTAGACTTCCCCACATTGTCATTCTTTTCGTGTTCTGTCAATTCCTCCTGCGTTTGGGATCACTTCCCTTCCACCTGAGACACTGTTGCGTCTTTTCTTGGTGTGGGTCTGCTGGTGATGAATTTGCTCTTTTTGTCTGTCTGACAATATCTTGATTTTACCTCCATTCCTGAAAGATATTTTTGGTGAGTACAGAACTTTGGATGGTGGTTATTTTCTTTCAGCACTGAAGATATAATTCCACCGTCTTCTGGCCTCAGTTGTTTCTGTTGAGGTGTCTAATTACCGCTCTATTGAAGGAATGTGTCTTTTTCCTTTTCGTCTGGCTGCTTAGATATATATATATATATATTTTTTTTTTTTCCACGCATGTGGGTGTGTGTATACATATATATTTGGCAGTTGGCTGGTATAAGGATCAAACCCTTGAACCTTTTCTCTTCCTGAATTCTGGCCCAGTAATTGTTCATTCTCTCATGAGCTCTCTCATGATTTCAGGCTGGATTTAGAAATATCTCATACAGCTTTCCTACCAGGAAGGCTGCTGTGAATGACTTAGTCTGCCATCACCAGAGTGGAAATTCTTCCTTATACACTTTAGGATACACTTTGTCAAGGACCATATAAAATCCTGTTGGGATTTCCGTTGGAATAGTTTTGAATTTATACATTATCAAGGGGAGAATTGACATCTTTAAGAGACTTAACCTTCCTATCCACGAGTAAGTGCATCTCAATTTATTAAGGTCTTCCTTATAGTTTTTAATAGTCTTATCGTTTTTCCTATAAAAGCCTAAAGCGACACTTATCTCTGCCCCTCACCCTCACACAAAGGGCTGGCTAGTGCAGTCCCCTGTGTGCCCAGGAAGGAGAGGTGGACCAGACACGTGGAGCAGAAGGTCTAGCATGAGGGGAAGATGACACACGCTAACTCGCTGAGGTCAATCCATCCCTGCACTTCTGAGAAAGCCCAGCTTGGCCAGGCACTACTGATTTTCATGCACTGCTGGTTTGCAGTTGCTAAGATGATTTTATAAGTTTTGCATCAGTATTCATCAATTAGAAGGACCTATAATTATTCTGTACTGTCCTGTCTGAATTTGATACCATGGCTATATTTCATTTATGAAAACAGTTAAGTGTTTCCCCATTTTCTGTTCTTAGGGGGGTTTGTTTTTTGGGCATAAATGACCTGTTAAACCTGTCTGGACCTGACATTTGTGCGTGGATTTCAAACCAGATTTAATTTCTTTAACGTCAAGTGCCACTTCTTTGTAGTATTATCATGACTGTAATATTTCACTTGTGTGATTTTTTGATTAAGACTGAATGAGGGAAAGCAGCCTCCAAAGTGCTTGGTACCCAGGAAATGCTCACCGGACACTGTCCCAAGTATTAACTCACTGTGACTTCACAAGACTTCATGAGGTAGAAGCTGTCAGTACCCCTACTTCTACATGGGGGAACTGGGGAACAGAGAAGGGAACCACCTACCTAAGTTCCTTTAGCTTATCAGCTGCAGAGTCAGGAGGGAGCCCTTTGTAGCCAAGGGTCCAATTACTCCAGCATGTTGCCAGCAAATGCAGGACTCACATGGCCCAATCTCTGCCTTTTTGCATCCTAAATAATGGGTTCCCAGTGAGTGAATGAATGAATGAATGCTGGGTCCTGCCTCTCATCCTGCTGGGGGACACTGAGCAGCCATCATGCCCAGAAGTCCAGCCTTGTGCCAGCAGACCCGGGTCACTGATTCTGAGGTCTGAATGCAGGTGGGCAGCTCGGGAAGCATGGGGCCCTGGCTCGGCCCCTTTGTTGCTGTGGTTCTTGGCTGGAGTGGGCATCTAAGCCTCCTGGGTCACTAAGCATGCAGATTCCTAGGCCCAGGGAGGGGACCCTCTGGGGGAAGCGTTGGAACCCAGGTGTCTGTGACCATGACTCTTCCCTCAGTGAACCCTGCTGCCCCCGTCACCAAAGATCAGGGTGGGTTGCAGCAGCTGCTGTTCTGAGCCCTGGTTGGCAGGCTCAGGTCGGAGATCCACATCCCCCAGTCACCTGGGTTGCTGGAGCCAGACAAGGTTCTTGGCGTTGTTGGCAGGGGAGGGAGATGGGAGTGGAGGCCTCAGGGGAGGACTGGCCTCTCTCTGGGCCTCAGTGTGCTCACTGGTCAAACTGGACAACAGTAGGTGACGGGGAATCTGCGGCATGCGTGGTTGAATGATCTGCCCAAGGACACAACCAGCAATGAGAGACCCTGGAAGGTTCATCACTCCCCAAGGTGAAGGTGAGACTTCGTGATGAGGCCTGGCCCACACCAGCTGCTCAGTACACAGCTGAGGGGACAAGAGGGCTCACCAGAAGCGGGGTTCTGTCTGTTTGATCAGCCCAGGAATACCTGTCTCCCTCCATGTAAAGGGGCAGACAAGCTGCTGCCTTTTGGGGTGGGCAAGGGGAAGCCACCTAAGGTGGGGTCTGAGCGTAAATGCCCCTTCTCCCTGCTGGGTTCCAATCTCCGTGAGCCTCCACGCCCCAGGTAGAGGTGTGCACGCAGCCTGTGGCTTTCCCAGGTTGCTCTGTGGCACCTCCCACACAGCTGGAAGCTGGGGACTGGGGACCAGGGCAATTGCCAGAGGGCCTTGGCCCATCCCTTGCCACCCCCTAGGTGGCCGGCACCCAGATGCCCAGCCTCACTGCAGTGAAGGTGCTAGGGGAAGGGACTCTGGGGTGTGGTGGGCTAACTGGCATGTGGGATGGCTCTGGGGGGACAGTGAAGAGAGGAAGATGATGTGCACGTGGAAGGGACACAGCCCACCTCAGGGCAGAGGAAAGAACAGAATCCATAGGGTGGCCTCACTGGGTCCCCTGCAGGTGCGGATGAGCTACTGCTTCCCACAGCGGCTGGGACCAGCCTCTGGGCATGGCCCTCAGGGCTCGAGGGTGGACACCTGCAGAAGGCATTCTTTAAAGCCAGTGCTTTAGGACACTGAGAACCAGCTCTAGACCCCCGTGCTCCAAATCCCACCATAGAAATGTCCCTTTTCACCAGGATATCAGGGTGGGGGGTTGCCAGAGTAGTGGCATAGCTCTTGTGCATGAACCCACTTCAAGGGCATGTGTAGTTCCTGTCTATTCAAATGGCACAAGAATTAGAAGGGAAAGTTCTAGAAAGGAGCCGATGCTGGTGATGTCCATTCCACTCAGTGAGAGCCATCCCAACAGCAGCAAGTAGGTCTGGGGACTGAGATGAATGACACTTGCCCCCAGGCCCCGCCTGTGAGAGGTGGCCACAGCAGAGAGGCAGTGTAGCCTGTCATTTCAGTTGCGTGTGTGTGACACGTGGTGCTGACATGGCATCAGTCGGCTTTCATCTGTGTTTATTTTTCTTTCATATAAAAGTTACACGTTTGAAATGTCTGCAGGAAGATGCCACTATGAGACGGTTAGTTGGGGGATGTATATTACAATGGAACACTGGGAGGCCGTGGGCAGCCGGAGCGGCAGGCGCTTCTCAGAACTGGAGCCCAGTGCCCTTCCCTGGCTCCACCCACACCTGCAGGTGAGAACTGACCAGAAAGGAACCGAATCATCCATCTCAGTCGTGTCAAAGATTGATCCCCACAACCCTCCCCTGGGCCCCCGAGAAACAGACAAGTCCCGGCCAGGCTGCAGCACTGAGCACTGGGACCTGGCAACAACCAGAGCCGGGAGGGGGAGCCTGTCAGCCAATAAGTTAAAACACGCAGTGCACCCTGCTGTCCCCATGTGGGGAGCCACCTGGCACTGCCACCTGCTGCTTGGGCTCTTCTGCTCAGACTACCAAGGGCTCCCAGGGAGGGACGGGGAGGGCCCGGGGGAAATGCTCGGGCATCCTGGGGATGGGCACAGGGTCTGTTCTGAATTCAGGGAAGGTGTGGAGACCCCCTCTCTGTCCAGCTCACGTCTGAGAGCAAGGCGCACAGGCCCAACTGCAGACACAGATCTGCCTGCTGCTGGGCGTGAGTGGGCTGGTTTCTGAGGCTGCGACACAGCACTGGCCCTTGCCTGTGCCACAGAGGGAGACTCCCAGAGGCTCTAAATGGCACAGGGGTTTCGTTCACACAATTCAAAGACCTTGTGTGCACAGTGGACCCTCCCATACACGCAGCAGCATTCAACAGAGCTGGGCAAAGGACGGGAGTGCGAGGCAAAGGTTGAAATGAAGGGACTCAAAAAGAGGGAACAAACTAAAAATCCAACCCCACACACAATACTGCTAAGAAACCAGCGGTTCTCCACACACACTCTTTAAATAATAAAGTGACGGTTCCGGCAGCCGCCAGCAGGACTGCTGTCAGAGGCAGCCTCTCTGACGTTCCACAGATTCCCTCCCCTCTCCATACAGGACAAACAAAACACGAAAGAAGAAGAAACACAGCCCAAACTCTTCTTGAGAAAAGCTGCTCACAAACCCAGAAAGGGCTCAAAGTGACATGGTTGTTTAAAAAGTCTAAATAATCAACAGGTGTTGCTTTCTATCTTTTCTTTGTTCTGTTTAAACTGGGCTAAGTAAGCTCAGTCCGACCCTGGTGTTCACTTGATCAAGTCCTGCACCCAGCAGCAGTGAGCACTCGCTTGTGCACAGCAGCTGGGAGCCGGGGGGGACATGGGAGGCTCTAGCGGGCACCTGCTTGCTGAAGCAGTGCCCTCCCCCGCCCCCACAAACCTTGCCCTAGATTGTCAGCCTCAGCAGTGAGAGTGGTTTGTAACCAGGAGGACGGAAGAGAACCTGCTCTTGAAGATGCTCCAGCCAAGGAGAAAGCAAGCCTGCCTGGCTGCTCAGCCTCAGGGGCACCTCTGAGGCCAGGCCTCTGACCTCTCCACACCCCAAGGGCCTGCTTGGGCCTCTCAGGGATGCCCTGTCCTTCCCGGGGAACACTGATGGCTCTGGCAGGAAGGTCTGATGAGCCAGAGGAGGAGCCCACTGGCCACTCCAGAATGGGGCAAGATACTGGGAGAGACAGAAGACGGAGCTTAAGGCACACAGCAAGCGACGGAGGAGGACAGGAGAGCTCCTTTGCTGTCCCCTCTCTGAATTCACTCCCCAGGAGCTCAGCTCAGGCCCCAACTCAGACAAGGTAAAAAAGACTCCCAGCAATACAAAGTGCTTCTCTGATGGTGAAGTTCTTCCTCCCTAGCCCAGCCTCCTCTCCCAGCTGCCCAGAGGGACAATGTGGGGAAAGTCTTAGCAGCCTGGGCAGGAGGTAAAGGGGTGACAAGATGACAGGTGCTGCTGCTGCTCGCAGTCCAGCATGGGAGGCCTGTGGGCACAGCACCCAGCAAGACTGCCCAAGAGCCAGTGCCATGCTAAGGGGTGCCAGCTCCAGGGCTGCGTTAACACCCCCCGTCCTACCTTTCTGGGCCAGATGAAAAGCTCACACCATCCTCCATATTTCAAAAGCAGGGAATGGGGGGCAAAAGGAGCCTGCCCTGGTCTTCTCTGCCTTCTGACCACCCCTCCACACCTGCCTCATTGCAGCCGTAGGAGGGCAGCCCCCACACAGGGGCCTCTGCCTCCAGGCAGTTGCCGTGTCATTCAGGGACTCTCAAGCTCAGGGAGGGGAGAGGATCTGCCATTCCTTGGTCTGCTGATTCTGGTTCTGTGCTGCTCCCAGGCTGTAGGAGAGAGGGTGGCAGGGTGGGGGGGAAGACAGAAGTGAAAGCAGAAAACTAAACCAAACCAGGAAACCCCCGGGTCACAAATCAGTCCTAAGACCTGCCTGCCAGCTCCACTGCGGGCCACGTGTCTGCTCCTGCGGAGGAGGGAGGCAGGAAGCCGCTGGCGGGCTCCAGGCCCCTGCCCGGCATAGCTGAGGCCTGGCCAGCCTGTGGCTCTGTGGCCGGGGCGCTGGCAGCCCACCTGCCAGGTCCAGAGTCCTCCCTGGGCTTGGAGCTGCCCTCTGCCTCTTGAGCGTTCTCCTTGCTCATGGCACCTGCTCCTAGGTCTTCTCTTCCCGGTCTGTTTTCCTCCGCGTTATGTTCCTGGGTTTAATTTTCAGAGAGAGTTCCCACAGGGCCTCCTCGGCCAGGTGGTCACTAAAATCGTTGAAGAAGTTTATGATGTCGTCGTTTCTCCGGATGTCGTAATGCCTAGTGGAGGGAGGGGGCAGTCAGTGGGAGCAGTGTGGGCTGAGCAGCCTGATGACAACCTCTTGGAGGGCACCACATGGACCACCTGATGCCCCTCACTGTGAATGACACATCAGGAGCTGCTACCGCCCAATGTGACAAGAGATAGCGCCACTGGCACCAGAAGCTGTGCTCACTCTGCCTCCCTGGGCAGCGCCCCTGTGCTGGCCTGCCCACAGGGAAGGCTGCAGAAGCCTAGCACCCCTTTGCATGCTGACCTGGCCTGCCCCTGCTGCTGGAATCAGGCAGACCAGGGTCTGTCAGCCCCTCCTCATGGCAAGGGGGCACCAGCCTCCTGGTGTGTGAAATGGGAGGACGAGCTGGCCATGCCATTGGGCTCAGGCCCAGGGCCAGACAAGGAGTTGAGCCTGTTATGTTTGGTTTCCAGAACCATCCTGCCACAAATCGGAAGGAGCAGGCCTTGGATCCCTGTTCAACAGGGATCCCCTGTGCAGGGTCCCTGGGGCTGTCTCTCTGGGCACCTGAGCTGAGGTTCAGATCCCCCTCACCACCAGGGTGGCAGCACTCACGCCTGCTGGAAACATCGCATGCTGTCGAGGATGTTGAACTGCTGCCACCGCTTGGAAAAGTTCACTTTCCCGTCAATATAGTCTGGGTTTCCCAGGTGAACGAAGGTCAGGTCCTGCAGGATCAGCCCCCTGGGAGGATGGGTAAAGAAGCCCAGTCACCGCTATGAAAGCGACTTGGAAGGCACCGGCTGATTCCCTGTGAGTTAGCTGCACCACCAGGACCAGCCAAGCCTGACGAATGACTCCAGCCCACACCTTTAGGCCGAGTCTGAGCAGCTGTCAAAAATCCCAGAGCAAACCAAGGTGCAAGTCTAGGGTGAAGTATGGATTCACAACCACCTGCTGGGTCCCCTGGAGGCCACTCAGAGCTGGAGGAGCCTGGAATGCCCCACCTGTCCAAGCCTGTGAGAAATGTTCATGAACTGAGGTGGCAGCAGGGTGTGTGGGCACAGTTGTGGGCTGCTAATGCAAAACTGTTATTTTTTAAATTTGTTTGGAGGGTTCTTGGCTGCAGGACCTGTATCTCTTGGGGGTGAAGGCCTTGAGGGCAGCCTGACCTGAGGGAAGTTTCTTCAAACATTCAGCCCTGGGAGACTGCTCAGTCTTCTGTTCTCCTTTTGGAGATTCCTAATGTCCACTAGTATATTAAAGGCTCTGATGAGTCCTGCAACAACGAAACCTGTTTAGCTTTGATTTTTCCACTCTCTCCCTTTTCCATGAGCTATGCATTTACTCCATCCCATGGCCCACACTTGGGAAATGTTTTCTGAACTACTTTATACCAAGTGCTCTCAGGGTTCCTGGGGTTGATTGGGTCCTCAGGCTGTTCTAGCCTCCAGCCAAGTTTGAGAACCACTAGAATAGGGCTCGATACCACGTGTGGGAAAGAGGCTACATATGTGTAGCAAGGTCTGCACACACTCACGGGCAGGTGACAGAAGGAAAGTGGAGTGGGGCTGGGAGATGAGGTAAGAGAACTTCTACTCCTCATCTGATCCTTCTTTTCTGTTTAAACTGTGTTATGAGGAGACATGTTTTACTTTTAAAGTAAAATCGAAGTACAAATGTCTCAATCGGAAACCCTTCAGTGATGATTTCTCTGTGGAGCACAGTGCGTCTTCCCAGAGCAACTGAGAGGCAGACGCAGGGATGGGGGTGGGCTGCCTTCATTTCGGATAAAGGCAGGTGGCTGCTACTCACAGGTATGGTATGCACGGAGGCTCCACCTCGGAGAGGGCAGCCCGGTAGGCTCGGAAGGAGGACGAGCTGTCAATCAGCGTGCAGTACTCAGCCAGGCCCTGGGCAGGACAGAACATGGGGACACAAGTGCTAGGACAATGCTGGGGGACAGAGGTCCAGCCTTCCTCGCTGACCTACTGGTCAACCACCTTCTACCCACACTGACAGGGTGGCCACAACGTGTGAACACTAAGCTGGATCTGGGCCCCCCTGGCCAGCAGTGATTCAACCCCTTTTAACAGGGTGGCAGCCAAATCCCCTGGTCACAGGGTGACCTAAGGCCCTTTTGTGGAGAAAGGCCCCATGGTGCTTGCTGTGCCTGGTCAGAATCACTTTCTGGGCAAGCAGTGCCTACTGTGTGTACAAGTCACTGGAAAGCAGGGCCTCTGCTCGGTTCCTGCTCCATCCTGCAGCTCCTACACTACACATGGAACTGAGTCGCTCTGGCTCAGAGGTGCCTTCACTCCTCACCACACTCCAGGCAGGGTCACCCAGGGACGACAGGTGACCTTGCCTTCCAGCAGGGCTGAACTTGTGGTGTGGAGTCTTGCCTCTGAGACTCAGCCGATCCTGCTCCTTGCCCACAATGCCATTCTCCTGCCTCTTGTCCTGTTAGGTGCCTCCACCCTCAAGTGTCGCTTCCTCCCTGCCTCCTCAGGACCTCTCATGTGTTCCTTTGGCACCTGGTGTGAATCTCCCACTTCTCCATATGGCAGTGCTTTATGACAGAGTGAGAGGTCCGCAGTGGCCCACGTGAAACTCAGCTTGGGGGCTTTGCCCCCCTGCTCAAGGACCATCTTCCTATACAAGGACAAAGGTTCAAGTCCTCAGGCCCCCTGAGGCCATCATGACCTAGAGATGGTCCCCTTCCCCAGTGGTGTGGCCGCCCTGGCCTCCACCTTGCTCTTCGAGGGCACCAAACTCCCAGCTGCTCCCAGGCTGTGCACGCCTCTGCCTCCTTTGATGGGAATTCTCTTTCCTCTTCAGGGGGTCGGGCCATGATGTGGGTGACACCTCAGGGCCAGCACACCTGCTCACCCAGCACCCCATCCTTTTCCTTTTAGTGCTTACCCTGTAGAAACCCCCCCAGTAAGATGTTGGTCCCGTTCCATGTCATGTGCCCAATGCCTAACGCAGCACCCAACCCAAAGCAGCCCCCTGAGAAGGGCGGACCAAGGAAGTGTGGAGCAGGTGATGCTGGGACCCAGGCGTGGGCTTGTGGCGGCAGGACACCATAATGTGACAGCCTTAGAAGCAACCATGAAGGCCTGCAGAGGCGGGAAATTGAGGAGGGGGCGGACAGCTGTCCCAGCTGCATGGCAGGTTGGTGGCAGAGCAGGGATCCCAGCATTTCCTGCTGTATGGCTCGTGGACTCCCACCATGCCACCCACGCCACTTACCTCTGAGGTCTGCTTCTGCCACTCCAGCCTGCGGATGGGTGCCGAGTCCAGCGCCGACAGGATGGCCAGGTAGGAGTTGAAGTTGTTTAGCTTCCGCAGGTGCTGCAGGGAAGGGCGAGTTCACTGTGAGGACAGGCACAGGGCAGGCAGGCCCTGAAGGGGAGGCTGGGGGAAAGGCTCAGCCACCATTACCTTCATGATCTTGATGAACTTCAGGAGCAGCCGTTCCCTGTCCTGGGCCTTTTCCTGTAACATGATTATCGACCGGACCCTATAGGGACCACAGGAAAGAGTAGAAACAGCTGAGATGACCGGTCTCCCTGCAGGTAGGCCCCGGGTAGTGCCGGTGCAGACGGGCTGTGAACAAGGGCTGCCCCTGCCTGCTGAGTGCCCTGGGCTCTTCTGGGGACTGGTGCCAAATGCCACAAATGGGGACCTCTGACCTGCAGGGACATTTTAGAGGATTGAGGCAGAGACTCTTCTGACAGGTGCCAACCCAAGCACTAGTGGGGTTGGGAGAGCTCCTCCTGTGGCCTCAGCACTGGCTCTGGGAAACCAGCTGGCATTTGGGTAAGAGGCCACGTTTATCTGCCACAGATAGGGAACCTCTCAAAACTTAGTAGCACCCAAAGCCAAACCAAAACCAAAACCAAGACGAGTCTCGTTTGTGCCACATGTGCAGAGGGGACCTCACGGTAGCCTCAACTTCCTGTGCTTTCCCAGGAGCCACTGCCAGGGTCACTTGGAGGAGGTGCCACACTCTGTGTTGCCTCTTCTGACCTGCAGAATGGCACCTGAGCTGAGTACACCTTGAGGACTATGGCTCTGAAGGGGCCTCACCTGCATCTCCTCCCAGCCAGGCCCCATCGGGTATGTTCCTGAGCCTCCTGTGCCCAGAGAGCACAGGAGGGGTCAGAGGCACACTGGGGTCAGAGGCCAGGCTCGACCTGTGTGTGCAACTGCTGCCATAGAAACCACCATATCCCATTGGGCAAAACCCTAAGCTGAGTGTTGGGCTGCTACCTCTAAGCACACGTCACTGAGGTGTGGAGTGCTTCCTGTGGGAGAAAAGTAGGAAAGGGGGAGATGACCCTCTTTTTCTGCAAATAAGCAGTCCTCGGGGCATTTAAAAACAGCCAAGGTGACCAAGGTGGATGTGTAGGGTGGGGCTTGCTGCACAGCTGCCAAGCTCTGCCTGATCCTCTATTGCGTGTGGAGACACTATGAGCATGTTTGAGTCACATCCTGAAGAGCCAAGGTTTCTAAATCATAAACACACTGTAGGGCTTCATTTTGGTTTAAAAATTAAAGGCTAAATAAAAGTATTAGCAGAGTTCACTCCTTTGCTAACTGCTCTTCTCTGCCAGACAGTCAGTGTGAGCATCAGCCCTGACGGCCACCTGGCAGTGGGGAGACTGGCAGTGACCAGCACAGAATGGCAAACTGGACTCCCTCTGCCCCGCTGTCATCCCTGGCAGACATTACTAGTTGACCCTGGCACTCTTCTTCAACCATCCCTGAGCCAGATGCCTCCTCAACCAGCCCTTCAGGCAGCCACCTCCAACGAGCCCCATCCTACCCCTTGCTCTCTGCCCACGGAAGGTTCACGATTAATCCCTGCAGGACCTCCGAAGGAGCTTGGAGGAGTGAAAGAGGCAGCTCCTTCTCTTCACCATTCCAGCTCTCTGCAAAGGAACATGCAGAACCCACCCAGGCATGCCACCGTGCAGAGCAACAGGGCTTGCTGCGGTGGCCCTCCTTACCAGTAGGACATGTTGTTGAAGTGCTCCGTGAACTGGGTCAAGTTGGGGCTCTTCTCCTCATTCTGCTCTTTTGCCCAAAGCAAAACCTCGGGAATCTGCAAAAGGAAATAGACTGGATAGAGGTGGAATCCTCTGGCTTTCCTGTGACAGGCAGATTCTCTCATCCAGGGAGAACCAACAGCGGCTCTCTGGGCCACAGCCCCCCTCATCGCCATACCTCTATTTTATAGAAGAGCTCAGCGTCCAGCAGTGTCAGCTGCTCAGCTATTTCATGGCTGTGAAAGTCATGCAAGGTCCCTGGCCTAGAAGACAGAGGCAGGAACAGAGCAGTCATGGGGGGTGGGGTGGGGGGACAGGAGCCGAGTGGGCGCTGGCTGCACCGCAGGCTCCACAGCAGGAGAGGGGAGGCCACAGGCTGGCCGGCACCAAGCTGTTCCTCGGGTCACTCTGGGCCCACTTTTCTCCCCAGGATGACGCTGTCTGCCTTCTTCTCCCACCTCTGCTGGGCGTATCTTGCTGCTTATGGACTCGGGAGACAGAGCTTCCCTCGTGAGCTCATTGGACAGTTCAGATGCCTGTGGACCCTCGCTCACAGCTGGCCCCACTTGCAGAGGCCCCTGAGAACAGGGATGGTGCTGTATGAACAAAGGCTAAGTGCTCACTAAGAAGGGGCTGACCCATCAACAGGTATCTATAGCTGGAATCGAAACTTACCACTGGGCTGGGATATAGAGGGGCAGGCAACAGACTGGAAGCTTTATAGAGGTTCTTAGGAACATTCAGGATGGCATAGGGGGCTGGACTAGAATTAACTACTGCCATGTCAGTGCTGGAAAGATAATTCGAAACTGACTTCAGCCTGGAACGTATCCCCTACCTGCTGTCTTACTGAGCCCCCACGTGCATGCCCTGCACAAAATATACACTCAGCACAAAATATACACCTCCAGGAGAAGAGGCCCAGTCCATGGGGGAACCATGGGGCTGTCCCCGAGGCCTCGTCACAGGGACTGGGCAGAGCCAGGATGGGAGGTCGTGGAGGGAGGGTAAACCAAGGAAAGCGGAATAGATGCGGCTACTGCAGAAGCTGGCTCCTCACCTGGCTGCTACCCCCCTGGCTGCCAGGGGCTGGTCGGAGTTGGCACACCGGAGCAGCTTCTTCTGGTCCACCTTGTCCAGGATGTTCTTCCGGAGCACACGAGCCAGGCTGAGCTCCCCACTGCACACCAGGCGAAAGACCAGTTCCATCAGCAGCTTCAGGATCTCCTCCGTCAACTCCACCAGGCTAATGGGCCAAAGGGTACAAGATGAGGGGCAGAAACACAAGCCCCAGGAAGAGTATGGAATCCACCTAAGAGTCCCATAGGCCACGTGGCAGTGATTGGCACCGAGCTGGGAAACCTCTTGTGGGAAGAGAGCGAGAGAAAAGATGGGGGACAGCTGCCTGCACCCTCAGAAGTGCCAAGAGCAGTCTGGTACTGGTACCAAGTACTGCCATTCACTCAACAAACGTTTGCTGGCACTGGACAAGTGCCAGAGACTATGCTGGGGACTGGGCTACACAGACAAATCCCAAACAAGTCCTGTCCTGGTCTCACCAGAGTGACGAGACACCAAGAAGACTTCCCAGCCCCGTAGACTGGATGCTCAAAGGCCACTTGTGGCCTTCCTCCTCAGCACCCTCCACGCACGGCCATTTCTAGCTTACAGCCACTGCTAATGTGGCCTCCCCCGCAGGAGGCAAATGCCCGGAGGCTAGGGGTCGGTCTGTGTTGTCCAACCCTGACTCCCCATAGCTGGGAGAGGGGCCTGCTCCGTGTGTACTGGTTAAATAAATGGAAATGCACGTGCCGTGCCTGAGACTCAGACAACCAGGGAGATGCTGGGGAGGGTGGGAGAGGCTGCCTCCCCTTGGCCTCCGACCCTGCTGGTAGCTAAAAGCACACCCGCGGTGGACTAGACCTGAGACACACATGGGAGGGATGGCCTCAGACCCAGGATGGACCCCACGAGGAAATCCAGAGCCTGGGCAGGGGCTGAAGAGGTGCCACACCCTGGTCTATGGGGGACAGGTCATTTTCTCCAAGGGCCGCATACGTATAGCCAGCAGGAGCAAGCTGTGTCTGGAGCTGGCGGCCAGTGCTCTGTGGGCAGGGACCCAGGAGAGGCAGGTGGAGTGTGACGTGCCCGGGGCAGAAGGACTCACCAGAGCTCATCCACCACCCGCACCAGCACGAAGAATGTGTTCTTGCTCACGCGCTTCTTGAACGTGTCAGCAAAGGGAGAGAACTTCTCATATGTGGAGCACAGGTTAAAGAAATAGCCCACATGGTGGGGAGAGCTGAGAAGAACTGGCTCCTAGCTGCCACTTACTGAGGTGCAAGGAACCAGGGACCCTGAGAGCGAGGCATTAGCACCTGGGAATAAGGCCCAGGATATGTGCCAGCGGCAGAGCTGCAGAACTGGGTACCAGCCCCTACCTGCCTGACCCCTGGCTGCTCTGACCACCACCTTCTGCCTGCGGGACTGTCCCCATGGCTTGCCCAGGCCTGCCTTTCTGTTGCGGCCAGCCTGAGATCCCCATGAGCTCACTAATAAGCTGACAGCTGCCTTGCTGGACCTCAGGTGGAGAAAGGTGGCCAACACCAAGTGCCCTCACAACCCCAGCTCCCTGGGAGCTGCACAGGCCAGACTCTCTCCTCCACTCTTTCCGAGGGTTTCCATCCTGGGATTGCCTCCTTGGGCTTCATGGTGAGCTCTGGCTTGGATACTCTCCTGGGGAGCTCCAACCTCGGCAACTCTGGGCAGGTCCCCCTTCCTCCTTCTCTGCCCTGGGAGTAGCACCCTCCACATCTGCTCCCTGCCCCCACAGCAGACCTTTAAACACCTGGCCACCTCATGCTTGGCCCCCAACCCGGGCTCTGCCTTGTGCTGCTACCACTGACTCTCCAGACCCCCTCTGACTCCATTCTGCCTGCCCTCTATCAACCCGTGACCTTCTGTGTTGTGGCACTCAGGACAGAGCCACACCCCAGGGACAGTCTGCTTGACCCACAGCACAGAGGGGTCACTGGCCCACTGTGCCCTGGGCCTCCATGTTGCAACAATTCCATGAACATGCCTGATGTGGCCAAGCAGTGCAGAGCTAAGAGCCTGGGCACTGGGGAGAGTCAGAGTGGGCTGCCCTCCCACCAAGTAGCTAGGTAGGCCAGCAGGTAGGCCAGCAACTCCACCTCTCTGAACCTCAGTGTCCTCAATTACATGAAAGATTATATGATGGCACCACATATGACATGGTAACTATGTACACAGGACATGGCTCACAGCTGAGTGAGCTCATGCGAGCTGTATGGGCTCCTAACGAGCGTGCCTGACCTTCATGTCCTGGGCCCGGCCTGTGAGCAGGCGCTGAGGAACACGTGAGGCCAGAGGGCCAGGGACTCTAAGGGGAGGGCAAGGAGAGAAGGGGAAGCAAGGGCGGGAGAGGACCTTAGATTGCACCAGGGAAGGCTCAGGGCACCTGGGCAGGGAGGAAGAGCCAGAGGATGCAGGACCTCCTGCTGCCCAGCAGATGGCAGTCATGGGCCACAACGCTAGCAGGTGGCTGAGGAGCAGGGATGTGTCACCCTCCTTTGGAGCGGCAGGTTAGCCTCAGCAGGACAGGCAGATTGGGACTTGAGAAAGAAGCAATGGGCAACAAAAGTGGGTCCTTCCAGACCCCTGGGGTCTTCCTCAGCCGCTGCTGCAGGGAGTGACACTTGGCAAGGGTGAGTCCATGGAGCGGGTCTGTGAGGAGACAAGAGCTGGTTCTAGTCACAGGCATGTGTCTGCTGCGGGTAGAGATGGCGGCGCTGCCCCCAAAGCTGTCTACGTGAGTCTTGCTTCCCTCCATCCCTGCACACACGGCACTCACCATGCCTGATGCCCCAGGGCTCGGAGAAGCTGCTGGCACCAACCACGCAGGCTGCCACTCCAGCATGCTTTTGCTCTTTCTGATTCTTTCTCAGAATTGCCCAGTGATCAGAACTGCCACCAGGCAGCACTCCCGGGCAGCGCCACAGGCACTGCTATTGACTCACTCGGCCCTTTGACAGAGAAGAACTGGCCTGAGGTCCCAGGGCCAGGACAGGGCAGAGTGGGGGTGAGAACCGTGGTGCATGGGACACCCCAGTGCCACCCAATCACACTGCTGCCCCCAAAGCTGCCTGGCTTCCCACATGAGGCTGCGTGGTGAAGAGGCCTGCGGCGTGAGGCCAGGCAGCAGGGCTGGGAAGGATATCTGTACTGTAGCTTCTTGATGAGCTCCTCTGGGGTGATGAAGGTCCTGTAGGTGGTCAGGAAGGCTTCACAGTACAGCACCAAATCTAGAGGAAAACAACAGTCACTCAGGCAGCACAGAGCACTGGGGGTGGGGGCAGCCCGGAGAAAAGCCCTGGCTCTGAGAGAGGCAGGTGAGGCAGCGGTGGCGGGCCTCTGGTGCCTCCAACTCATGCCCCAAAGAAGTTGCCCATCCACTCTGTCCATCTCTCAAGTGAGAGGGCGGATCAGAGACAGGGAAGGTAAGCAGGTTTCACCTCACAGGCACATTGCTCTCATGACAGCGCTGCCTAGGGAAGGACACTGCACCAGAGGTTGAGGCCATGCGTGGTCCCAGTGGGAAGAGAACCTCCGCTGAGAGGCAATGCCCACCCCAGCTAGGGCTAAAGATTGGCAGCTGCCCACGCCCAGATGTGCACCCCAGATCAGACATCAAGAGGCTCTCGTTTTGTCCTGAGGCTGGATCGTTCAAAGGATCTTAACCAACAGGGGCACAGAGAAAATAAGTAGTTCAGACTTGTTAGCAGGATCCTGAAGCTAAATCGCAAAGCAGTACTTTTAGCCGGCAGGGTCCAGTAACTCAAAAATTGCGGGAAATTCCACGTGTAGAGGGTCTTGAGGAAAGGGTGAGGAGGTACAGCTTGGCATGTGCTGGGACCCACCGTGGGCAGCTCAGGTGCCAGGAAGGGCAGGGCCAGCCACGAAGACTGAGGCCGCAGTTGGGCAGCAGTACCACCCACCACCTCCCTTTCCCGTTGGAGGGGCTGGTGCCAGCCAAGGACTCCCAGCCCTTCCAGAATCACAGAAGGCCCTGCTTATTTGCTGTTGAGACTCACACTCCCAACCATGCTGTCTCTGACATGAAAGGAAAAAGAGCAGAACTTTTCAACTACAGGACCCTGCCTGAGACCCATGCCCTGGCCAGCTCCTCCGGCTGGGGTGAGGAGCAAGCCTGCCGTGACCCCAGCCATGCTCTGCCGCCAGGCTGGGCGCAGACTACCTTCCCTATCTTCTTTCCCTACCTGCTGGATGCAGGAACCCCAGGAAGATCCTCTTTAGCGAAGTAGCACTCACTGGCTGGGCACAGACACACACAGCTCACTCCCGCCCCCCACCCTTCACTCAGCACCCCCCAGACCAAACGAGAGGAAAACTGACCAATGCCTGCTCCTGCTGTGAGGGGCCACGTGGTGGTGGAGGGGACCAGCTAGGGAGGGAGGCTCACGGCTGGGCATCACAGCAAGCTCCAACCACACCTCACTCTGGTGCATTCCTGGACCTTCAAGCCCACCCTGCTCGCTGTGAAGTTATTTTTGCTCAAGGTGGCTGGGCAGGGAAGCAGAGAATGGATCCAGGTCTGCAGGTGCATGCTGACAGTAGCTGTGGCAACCTCTGGCCAGACATGTGCTAGGCTCGCTGGTGAGCACCAGCCCGCTCTGCACATACACCACGTCTTTCAACACCCTGAGCAGTCCAACAAGGGTGAGGGCCACTGTCTCCCCACTTGAGAGTCGAGGAACCCAGGCATGTGGCCATCCCACCTGTAGGCAGTGTCGGAGGGTTCGCCTGACTCCAGAGCTCTTAACCATCTGCTGTGCCCGGGGCTGTAGTAAACAGGGGTCGCCTAGTTTCTGGGATGGCTACACTTCCTAGTGTCCACTCGGCTCTCTGTACTTCCCAGAGCACTTTCTGTGCCTTGGCTCACCTGATCTTCATGACAGCCCTGGAAGGTGAGGTCTCATCATCTCTAGTTTTCCTCCTGAGGAACCGGAAGCTCGGGGGTTAAGTGACAGGCTCTGGCACACGTGGATCCCGGGGAATGGACAGGATCTGGGCTGAGGTCTGAGTCCAAACCCGACCTGACGCTCTCCCTGCAGCTTCTGACACGCACTGACCAAGAGGAGAGCTGTGCGATGACAAAGTGCCTCCCAGCCCACTGAGCCCTGGCATCTGAGCCACGGGGTACCCTTTGTTGGTGCCACTGGAGCAGTCTCTGGTCTGCAGGAAGCCACCTGCCCGAGCAGCTTGCTTCATTACCTGCCACAGGGCACCTCTCTCTTTCCAATGTGGCCTACGGCCTCTGCCTCAATTATACCTCCTAGGAACGAACAACTTTGGTTCTGTGGAGCCTCAAAATCCTTCCATTAATAAAATCAAGCAGAAACTCAGCCAGCGGCAGAGCCTCCTCTCAACAGGTCCAGCCAGCACAGACCCGAAGGGTCTTGGGTGGCTGTGCTGTGGGGTACCCCTCTGGCCTTGTCCACAGCTGGCTGCGCCTGGCAGGATGGTAGAGTTCACCCTGTTGGGTCAAGGCCTGTAGCAAGCTCCCATTTCAGCCCTCCACTTTGGGACAAAAATGAAATGGAAATTGCTCCTTATAACCTGCTGAGGACGCAGCTCTGAGGTGTCAGGCATGGAGGAGGATTTACTGCAGAGCAGCTGAGCAAGGGCTTTCTTAAAGAGGATTGTGGGGGGATGGCCGGTTAGCTCAGGTGGTTAGAGCAAGGCCTTGCAAGTGTTTGGATCCCCATACCAGCCAGTCACAAAAAAAAGAAAAAAAGAATCATGAATGCTCCCTGAGCACCGCCAATGTGCCAGGTGTGTGCTGTGTTATCTCATTTAATCTGCACAGAGTCATTCATGAAAATGAAATTGGTTAGGTTAAGGTTTCCAGATTGGGGTGTTTTTATTCCTTCCAACAGTTTACTTTAACACGATTGCTACATCATCTTTTTAATAATTTTTTAAAAGAAAACAAGTGTCTTTGTTTGACACGTCATTATTCCAGGTGCCACATACCTGCCACCCCCTACCCTCGTCCTCCAGAGGGTCCTACAGGCCCCAGGGTCATCACTACCCTTCATCAATGAGGGCCAGACATGAGCGCTCTGTCCCAGTCCCACTGTCTCCAAGGAGAGCTCCCACTCTGACCAAGTGGCACCAGGCCCATGCTCAGGTGTGCTCCGGGCTGCCACCAGGAGAGGAGAGGACAGCACAGTGGGGCCAAGCAAGTGACACCTGTGGTGGGACCAGCCCCACCCCAGGGAGGCCACCAGCACAGACAAAGGCTGCTGCTGCGAGAGCTGCCCTACCTTTCCTGTCGGTCTCAGTAGCATGGACCAGCAAGATGTCTCCAGACCCTCCACGGACATCTGGCCCATCATCACCCTGTAATGAAAACAGCAAAGGAAGGCATGACGCAGAGCATGGCCTTGGAAAAGTCAGGCACTGTGCTGCAGGGACCCCATGACCACTCCCCTCTGCTCCACACGTCCAGGAGCAGTGTGGCCATGCTGCGAGTGCTGGGTGCCCCTCCAGCCCACCTACTGCTCCATGCTTGGCAGACAGGCACAGATCAGACGGCATCTGGGAGCTAGATGGCCTGGGGGCTCCCAGACACCATGGGCACATCACTTTTTTGAGGACACTATTGGGTCAGGGGAACATGGTGTCACTGGACCTCCCCCTGCTCAATGACCCACAGGTCAGAGGTGAGGTAGAAGCCCTTACACACAGAAAATGGTATGATTCCACAGAAAGGGTGGCAAGACTGCCACCAGCCTCTCCCAGGATGCCTGCAGAGGCAGCGGGATCATTCTCAAGAATGTTTATGTTTCTAAAACTGCAGCAAACCACCCTAGATAGAAATCCATTTCCCCAGGTGGAAGTGGAGTCATTGTTGAAATGTCATAGGTTCTTCCACACAGCCCTTCATTAGAGTGTAAAGTGTCACAAAGACATCCAATGACATCTGATGCTGCTTATGTGACCAATCCCTGCCTGCCTATTAAGAAGCAAATCTTATTTCCATGTGGGCAAATACAGGCTTAAGCCGCTTGGCCTGGAGCCAAAAAGAGCTGTCACCAGGGCCAGGAATGGAACCCTGGGCCAAACAGCACCAGGCCTGCCACTCTTCTCCCCCGACTGAGGCTCCAACCTCCTCCCTATAACTCAGAAGGAGACACAACCAACACCCCTGGGGTCCCCCCACCGCCGCAGCACACACTCCGAGACTCACCTGCCTTTGTAAAAGGGCTTTGGTGTTTTTACTCCCCGACTCCAGAATCTGACAGTGTTTTGGATTTACCTTTGTGAATGGCTGCAGCTGTGCCCATGACATGAGTTTTTGGAGGAGATTTATGGCAAGGGTCACAAAACATTACTTCTCTCTGTCGAAGCACCCCCACCAGCCCTGCCAATGCCTTCCTGGGCTGCTCCCTGCTATGGCTGGAGCCAGCTCAGCCTGGCCCAGCAGTGTCCAAAGGGTACTATGTGCCTTCTCACCCATGTGTGTGTGCGCGTCACTGCCATCAAATTAGAGCCCAGAAACATGGCCACCTCCTCAGGAGGGGCCAAGGCTATTTTGTTAAGTTGTTACTTTGTGGTTCTAGAACTGTACAGTAGAGAGGCAAGGCTGTTTCAGCTTGGCTTCTCCGTTTATCGTGACAGGTTTGGGTGTTGTTTTCGCTGAGGCTCTGCAGACAAGGCCCAGGATGGAGGTAGCCACGGTGTCCGGGCCTGTATCTACACTGGTGGGGCTTACCACTTACGAAGGTTTCATGCTCACAAGATGCTCAAGTTCACTCTGCGGCAGCATCAGGAGAAGGGGACAGGACACTTCCTCCTGGAACCCACCCCCTCCAGGGGCCACAGCCCAGAGAACCACCAGGAGTATGGAGACTTGGTCTCCCTGTCCAGCTTGGTCTTCCTGCTTGAGACACCTCAGGTCACATTCTCCTCACACCCCCGCACTCTCGCTTTGTGTGCCATGCTGCAAAATCCAGGCCTGTGAAGTCCTCACCTCTTGCTTGAGCGTCAGCCTGGCCATAATTTCATTGTGGTCGATGAGGGACAGCTCATCCACTTCGTCTTCCAGCTGGGCCGACTCCAGAGCATCTGGTGACTTTGGAGCCCTGGAGGGAGGAGTGGTTTGTGCTGGAAGCATCAGAGAGGCCCCTGGACTCCCTGACACCCGGGGCTGAGGCAACGCTTGCCTATGCCTGGGTCAGAACTGTGGCCCTGAACAAGCCTGCCCTGAGTTGCAGCCACACGTGAAGCCAAGGAATGGATAGATGCCAGGGCGTGGACTGGATTCCTAGGTCTGCTACTGACCAGCTGTGCAGCCTTAGGACGTTTCCTACTCTCTGTGGATGCCCCACCTGTATGTGGGAGGGATCACGCTGGGAGATTAAAAAGGTTCCATTGGATTATTAACATACAATGGTTTCAGCCACTCTGTCAAAGCCCACGGTGTAGACTGTCAGTGTTTTTTTTTTCCTTTTTGTCTTTTTTTTTCGTGACCGGCAACGGATCGCAACCCTCAGTGTCGTGCCCGTACCGGACCGGGACCGGCAACGGGATCGCAACCCCCGGGGGTGCGCCCGCACCTCCCGCAGCCAGTGAGCGGCCGGTCTGTATGGGGGATCCGACCCCTCGGCGGGAGCGCCACCGCGCTCCCAAGTGGCGCACTGTAGCACCGGGCCGGCCCAGACTGTCAGTGTTTAAGGAGAGGAGGAGCAAAGGGCAGGCAGGGTGGGAGGAAAAGCCAGCACTGCTCCAGATGCCATTCCCCAAGGCTTTTCCGGGGGACTGTCTCCCCATCAGGCCTTTGCTTGGCATGAAGAAAAACCATAAACCAAGCAGACACGGTCCCTTGTTCTCAGGGTGCTCAGTCTAGTGGGAATCAGACTTCAGAACAGTGGTCATCGTAGAGCAGTGACAGGGATGCACAGAAGGGTAATGGCAGACTCTTACGTTCAGGCCTTTGAAAGGTGGAGTTATTAGCGATTTTCCCTGCTTCCTTGCAGTTTTCTGTACTTCTCACAGTTCCTACCTTGAACATGTACTATTTTGAGAATCAGAGGAGTAGGCATAAAGACTCCCACATGCAACGCCTGCAGGCCTGGTGAGCTGGCTGCTGTGGGCCGCTCAGGGAGGCCTCGCTGGGAGTACGCACTGCTCTTGGGAGACCTGGCTCCTCTCTGCTCATTTCCTACCTCTCACCACCATCTCTGCTGTCCTTTCCAGGTGCACTGCCAACTGCCGAGGGATCTCTGGCAGGCCCGTCTTTCCCAGCTGGTGATTCCTGAAAAGAGAAGTGAGTGCTGGGTTTTAGACTGGTGGCCCATGCCAGGGGGGATCTGTCTTCCCAGCATTCCTGCCTGCAAGTGGCTTTGGAGTGCAAGTTCCTATGGAGCAATTTGGACGTGAAGAAGTTAATGATGAATGCAGTTAATTACAGGAAACACAAGCCCTCCTGAGACTAGCATCTTGCCTTTGGAGAGGTTGAAAGGTCAGCCAGGCACCTTTCCTCATCTGAACCTACTCATGAGCTAACACCAACATCCCACTTCACACACAGAAATGAAGGACAGAAGTCCACGGCCCTGCCCAGGACCACATGGCTTGTAAGTGGAAAAGCCTGGATTCAAACCCAGGGCTGTCTACCTCCAAAGCCTGTGTCCTGAACCACGGGGCCCTGCTGTCGTGCAGCAAAACCTTGCTGACTTCCTAGTTAAAGAAAGCTTTCAGGCTGTTTGGCCCAGCCAGTTACGGTCCCAAAGGGCCCCACTGCTCAGGCATGTGACTGTAACCCCCTCCCCTCCTCCTGGGTCTCTGGGCCCACCTTACTCAGCGACAATGTGGCCCCAACATCCCTGGTCTGTCACTGGGGCCACAATGGAGAACTAGAACAACAAGAATACAGAACATCACAACGGGAGTGCTTCAAGGCGAAGAAAAAGCCAGTACTGCAAGTGGCCACTGGTAGAGGGAGAGCCATGGAGAGTCAGCAGGTGTGGACTGCTCCACATGGGGGCTGAGGTGATGACGCTGGGACACAGGCCACCGGGGGGACAGGGAAGGCAGGGGCCAGCTGAACTCCCACAGGCAGGGCCAGATCCCACGGCAGTAAAACCTCCTCAGTGCTCTGTGACCTGCTAACACCTGAAGCGGGAGGTGCCTTATGTGGGCCTCTAAATACCTGTGAGGATCCCACTGGTGGACCATGCTCTGAATGGCTGCGCTCTGCCCTTTGGTTTGATCACTGGAGAGGACTTGAGTCCTCACGGACCTCCCCTCAAGGAATCTGTCCCACTTGGGCTAGTGGGAAGAGTTACTTTTGAAGCTTTTGAACTTGCTCCTGTTTTGCTGAAACAAAACCAGGGATGCTGATTGCTCAACAGAACTGCTGGACTCAACTGTCACAAGCTGGGAGGGTGATGATGTCAGGTAACTCTGCACTCTCAGGAGGGAGGTGCGCATCCAATTGGCAGGAGCTACCTGCCAGACAAACCCGGGAGTGATGGAGCATGCTGGGGAGGAAGAAGAGCCATGGGACGGAAGGTGGAGCTCCATAGTGGAAGATGTGATGGAGAGAATCCCACAGACAGCACCCGACACGGGCCCAGGGCCTACACCGGTCTGCTCCTGGAGATTTCTAGAAGACCCGTCCATCGGTCAGGCTTTGAGGAGTGCCACATGCACTGAAGCAGTAGTCAAGGGCAGACCTCCACCTGCAAGCCACATCCTCCTCCACAGAGCCTGCGGGGGCCCAGTTTGCTTGTGACCAGGAGGGGCTCAGCCACACAGAAGCGGGTGCAGGGAAGCAGCCCCGGGGCAGCAGGGCCACACCTGCCAGGCCTGGCCACATGCACGAGGCCGCCCGAGGTTACTTACTCCTCGAGAGGGAGCCAGCTCCTCACTGCTCTGGCCAGAGGAGTACAGATTGACGTATTCACCCTCACCAGCGTCCTCGCTGGCGTTTTCACTCTGGGAGAGACAGGATGAGAGGAAAGATACATGGGCCAGGCCCTCTAGCCAGCTCTCACAGCTCAGAGAGGGCAGCCAGCAGGGCTGGCCCCAACCAGGATGCTCCTTCCATGAGAAGAAGAGGACAGTGATAGCGTGCACTCTTCTCCCTGGGAAGCCTTCTGCAGGGTCAGAGAACAAAGCTGGCCTCTGTGTCAGAGGGAAGCTAAGTTTCCTGCTAGATCTTCTCTGGAGGTGTCAAGGGACATTTGAACAGTCCTGGAAAAGCAGCCCCACCGTAGTGGGGACTGTGGGGGACCCCAGTGTGGTGGGAAATGACTATGGAGGGGCAGGAGCAGCACATCAAGACAACATACCAATGTGACACACTGGGGAGTCGGTCCCCACTGCCTGTGTTCTCTCTGCCTACCTACTTGTCCACCCCAGTGTCCATGGCAGCTCTTCCCTGTGTTCTGATGGAGACTGCTGACAACTGAAAACCTATGTGATGGGGTGGGAAGCCTCTGGCCTCGGTACCAAGGGCAACTGAACAGGCACCTACCTGCCTTGGACCTCTGTCACTTCTGCACTTCCAAAGGGGCCTGTACTTTTCTCTAAAGCAAACAACCGAATAGAAAGCTCACAGCATTTTCTATCTTACGCTGTGATACCTTACTGTCTCTAAATGACCACTAGTCCATCTGTGGAAAATTGGATTCCTAGTTTGATAGGTGTTTTGTGTAAAAGATTCTGCTCTTATTCTGTTCTGGAAATAGGAACCACTGCACCTTGCTTTGATGCAGTCATGCTGCTGATGGGCACACGCCATCAACAGAGTTGACTGCCAGTGACAGGAAGGCGACGTCTTTCATGGGCAGTGGTACTACTTTCTACAAATGTGCAGCCCCGTGTGCAGGTGCGTGCAAGGGTTGAGTTCTCACCGAGTCAGTGAAAGAGGTTTCGGAAGGAAGGCAGACAGTATTCCCATGAAAGCTGTTCTCCTGAGAAGGTGAGAGAGGCCCGTCCATGGTGCTGGGAGGCGGACTGGCCACAGGCGGCACCGCTAAGTCAGAGCTCTGAGGCTGGTGGACAGGTGGGAAATGTGGAGAGGAGGAGGAGGTGGGCGGAGGGAAAGGCTGAACGGAAGCTTGGTGGTGAGGCAGGAAATCCTGGGAGTAGGACCTAAACACAGATTTGTACTAAAGAATCAAAGTTGAAAACAAATAAACGAGAATATGGGAAGAAGAGAACAGACAGACAAAAGAAAAAGAAGTTAGGTTAACTGTGGCTGAGCACTGATAAGTCATTCACAGTAATTCTAACTAGGGACCACCGATCATGCCAGACAAGCCCCTGTGGTCCTCTGGCCTCTGAGGCTCCCCACACCCAGTGCCTCCTCCCTTGAGAGGGGCCTGGAGGCTGGAGACTGGCCAGCACTGTTTCCAGAACATCTAAATAGCAGGACAAGGGCAACAGCTCCCCCAAAAGAGAGAAAATCCCATATACCACATCAGTGGCCGCCTGCTCCACTGCAACAGAAAACTAACCCCACACAACCTGGCCGAGCTCCTTATTACCCTTCCAGGAGTGTTACGGCTAAATTCAACGATGCAGTCCTTGCTACTTGTTTTGAATCATTCGGATGAATCTCTTTGGTTTCATCCCTTGAAAGTTAAATACTGCAAACTTGTACGTGTTATAATCCATCTCAAATCCTTTGGGAAGGAACAGGCATAAGCCTTAAAAATGGTTGAAAGAATTATGCTATCAAAATGCTAAAAATTTTGGGCCGGCCCCGTGCCTCGTTCAGGAGAGTGCGGCGCTAGTAGCGCCAAGGCTGCAGGTTCGGATCCTACATGGGGATGGCTGGTGCGCTCACTGGCTGAGAGCGTGGTGCAGACCACACCGTGCCGAGGGTTGTGATCCCCTTACTGGTCAAAACAACAACAACAACAACAAAAACCCAAAATGCTAAAAACCTCTATGAGTTCATTTACCTTCCTACCTAATCTTATCTGTCCTCTTCCCTTTCTTCCTTCTTCTTCTTCCTCTTTTTTTTTTTTTTTTTTTTAACTAAACAAAGTAGTGATCTTACAACACCTCTGATGCCACCTTGGAGCCAGAAAGCTACATTCCCTCAAATTCTCATCAGAGAGAAAGTCTGAAACCATACTGACATGTGGCATCAAATATCTGGGGCTTCTCAGATCCAATGAGCACCCCAAGCCGGGGCTCTGCTGCTACAGGACAGAGGAGCTATAGGACCACCGGCCAATGGCCACTGAGCTGAGATCTGACAATGTCATTGTGCCCTGCAAAGGCCTGCCAACATGCTAACTGCCCTGGGAGAACATGCGTGGACAGGACCATGTCTGGAGTTCTCGCCGGCTCCTTGCCCACTACAGACACCAGAATTTGATGAAAGTCACCCTCAACACAAATGGGCACACTGCTCATTCAAATTTTCTCTGCATTTGCTACGGCACAGGATTTTCACAACCCACAGAGACAAGGAAAAAGAGGAAGAAACAAAGTTTTAAACTAACAGGAGGTCAAAGGTACTGAAATCCTTAAGCAGTTCTGCAAAGCTGCCCTTTAACCTAAACAAAGAGCTGCTGCAATTCAGGGATGAGGCAGTCCCTCCCTCCCTCTCCAGGGTGGACAGGCCTGGCCCCTTCTTGGTTGCACTGATCAGAGTTTAAAGCTCCTCCTTCCTCAGTGAGACCAAAACCCTCTTGCTCCCATGAGCTCCTGTGGCTGCTGGTTCACACCAGATCCACGACACCTGCCCGAGGCACGGGTAACTTTTTCCTATTCCCCATCTAATTCACATACTCAAGGCCAGCCCCCGACCACCATCAAATGAATTAGTGGACGTGTCCGGCATGTCCTGCCCAAACAATGCTGAGCACTCTTAGACCTGCTCCAAGTGAATCTCTCTTCATCTCCTTTCTAGAGAAGCTGGGGAGCAGAGCCCTGTTTGGCACCCCAGGCTCCCCCGACCCTCACAGCACGTGCCACACTTCACTTTAACCTTCCTGTGACCATTAAAGATGCGCTGCAGCCTGGGAACTCAAGCTGGGTCTTCCTGGGATGGCAATGGGGTGGAGGATTTGGCTTTCTGGGTTCTCTATGTCATCTCTGGAGGGGGCTTACCCCATAGTGGGGCTCTCTCACCGGCTGGGGAGGCCCACAGAGAAGACAGAATAGAATGCACTGGCTGAAGGGTGGCATGGCATGGAGCTGGGAGCTGCTCCGAGGGAGCCCCCACATGACTGTTGGAGGAAGTGGTTTCAGTCTCCTGCAGGAGTGCAGATTCTTAGATCTGTCAGATGCTCATTCCCAACACCCAGGTGCTGTGAGATTTGCTAACAGACATCTCTCACCTCACCCACAAATCCACTCACGTGTTGCTACCTAGTTTAAGATTCACATTGAGTGCCAACTCTGTCTGGAGTCTTGACACTTTCCTCATCGATCCCCACACCCCTGCCCCCACATAAACTCATTAGCACTTAAGCATGCCCTGCAGTAACTGAGCACCTGACTTATATACACACGCAATTGGCTTTTGTGTAATCGCAATATCTTATCAGGTTTGAGAAGCATCTTCCTAACTGATCATATGGCGCATTCAGCAGGTTTTGATTTGACGAGCTTAGGGGGCAGACTGCTATGCAGTGTGTGGGGCCTCGTCTGGGAGGTGATACGGGGTCATTGCTAAGGGCACATTCTCAAGCCATCTAGACGTGGGCTTGGGTCCTGTGTCATCTCTTTCTGCCTGTGTGACCTCGGGGAAGTGACTTAAGTTCTTGAGCCTCATCTCTTTAACATTAACACGGGATGAAAGCAATGGTGCTTCTGCCACAGGGTTTCTGTGGATGTTCAGGGAGACAGAGCCACACACGTGCTCAGCACAGTGCTCTCAGTCAATGCTGGCTGTCCTCTCCCGTCCTCCAAACACCAGTCCAGGAACTGCTCTAAATAACTAAGCAGAGGCATTGAACAGGGGCCCAATACATATCAGCTGAATGAATGCATACCCAAGAATTGATTCTGCTGTTATTAAAGTGCCTAGGATATTGCCTGACTCATAGCAGTGTCTCAGCCTTGAATGTGGAAGGGCAAGAGACAAGCTCCGCCCACTGCCTGGGTTCAGGTCCACTGGTGGCGAGACTGGGGAGGGAGGCTCAGGGATGCCACCAGAGGCATGGACTGCCCAGGAGAGCGGCAACCACCAAGGAGACATGAAGGAGGGCCGGTATCTCTTGGACAAAGGTGTGCCCTGCCCCACCCCCTCCCCTTCCAAGGCAGCCCCGCTCTGGTATTCAAGCTATGTGGTCATGCTGGGCTGACAGCCAAGCTTGAGAAGCACCTTAGAGGGGGAGGGGGATGCACGGGATGCTCTCTAGTCACTGTGAAGACCATTCTGTGCCCCTCTGTGGTGCTGCAGACACAGGAAGCTATGTCAGGGCGCAGGACTACCCCACTTTCAACAAGTCCCAGTCTCAATGGACTCCCCAGAGAAATATTTCCAGGCCCTTTAAGATCACACTTACCCAAACAGGCAGGGAAAAAGGCAGGCTGGCCGTTCCACAGCAACGCCACCTCACCACAGCCTAGGGTTTATTTTAGGATCTGGCTGGTGCCTGGCTTTGCTTCTGAAGAGCTGTTGCTCTATGCAGCAGGAATTTTTATTTATAGCCAGAGTAAGACTGTTTGGGCTGTGGATTTTAGAACACAAAGGGCTGTCTGACTGAAACCTGCAAACTTCTGCAGAAGATCTGGTGGTTCCAGAGCAAGCGAGCAATTAGGAGAGGGGGCGCCTGGCCTCCAAGCTTAGCCCTGGTCACACAATCATCAAAATGCCAGCAAGGACTGCTTCCTGCGGATGAGGAGCTAAGAGTTTTGCATAGATCACCTCATTTAATCAACATGAAGTGCTTTTATGATCCTTATTATAACGAAAAAGGTGAGGCTGGTAGGGTGGCCATACACAGCTGGTAAGAGGTGGCATGGGGATAGCCTATGTCATAGTCAGTTCATGTTTTCTGAAACACTGAGGAGTATTGTGGGCACGTGACAGGACCTAACCATGAATTCCACAGCTCTGCAGGATGCAGCCCCACTAACTGCTCAGAGATCCCCTTAGCTGAGCATAATGCCAGGCATGCAAAATGCCAGGCATGCAAAATGCAGTGAGCTGAGGCTTCACATACAGCCAGGGGTGCAGAGAGCGGTGCAGGGACAGGCAGTGAAAAGATGCAAGCGGCAGCTAGCTGTCTTGGAAAGACATGCCTGAAAGAACCACTGAGTCTTAGGAATCTAAAAGATCATGGAGATTGATGACCTTATATGTTAGCTCGTGGCCAATTTGTTAAAAGGCAAAGCTACCTGAAGCTGCCCAGGTACCAGTTTTCAGTGACACTTTTTTCCCATTATAGTCCTGGCATGAATATTGGCTAGGCATGGACCCTGTGTTGCCTTGGCAAGAAAGCAGGAAGAAGACCTTTAAATAAAAAAATCTCGGGGGGATGGCTGGTTAGCTCAGTTGGTTAGAGCACAGTGTTACAACACCAAGGTCAAGGATTCGGTTCCCTGTACCAGTCAGCTGCCAAGAAAGAAAAAAAGAAAAACCCTGGGTCCTCAATATAAGAGCCAGTCCATGTAATTCCCTGATGATCAGAAAGTGCAGGGTGCCAGAGAAGGCAGTCTGTGCATCAGCAGCTGAGGGCCAGAGCCACAGGCCAAGAGACCTCAATCTGAACGGCTGCTTCACTGGGACTTGAGCTCCAAGCCTCAGAGAACTTTCAGCTCCACCAATCACAGGGCAATGTGACCATGTACAGGAATGGACTAGCTGCTGTGGTAAAGTGTTTGGGAAGAGAAGTTGCCAGAGATGGGTCATTACTGCACAATCTTGGCTCAAGCAAGGTTTATGACTTTGGTGTTTTTGGATGCTACTTAGCAAAGCATATAAGCTACTGGACAGCTGGTTTTCAGGCTTAAATTCTTATACCTTACTTGTGAGCAAACACCCTCAAGGGGAGCTGTTCTTCTAGTGTGGTCTGGGCTTCCTTCCCCTGAGGAGAATCACCAGGAACCGAAGCTCAGCACTGGCCCTGGGCTCAGAGCACATGTCCTTCAGTCAGGGACTGCCAGCCTCCCCGTGTGGGGCCTCTTATTTATTCTGGAAGGA